ATATATACACATTACTCGATTTCTAAGCCACGGTTATATTTATAAATCCCAAATCGAGGAGAGTATGCGTGCAAGCCACACCTGTTTATTCTGCTCTTTCAGAAAAAAGAAAAAGAAAAAAATCTTTTCTTTTTCAAAATCGAAAATAGAGAAAAATTTTCAAAGATATAATTTATATCGATCGCTATAGAAGAGCAAAGGCAATTAAAGGGAAAAACTTTGTCTCCTCCATATTTCTTCTTCTCGTTTCGAAGTTCACGACTCAATGTCGTGACAAAGTTTCGAAGTTTCTTCGCGGTCTGGTAAATTTTCATTTCGTGGCAAGAAACGACAGGAATTAATGGATTGCTGGAAATAACTCGAACAGAGGCTCGTCGGCCTGCAGCGAGCTGTTAAGCACGTTTAACGAGAAAAATTTGTGCAACGGAGCGGGACAACGGAGAGGAAAGAAGGGAAGGGATGGAAAAAGAATAGCGTGTGGGTGAGAAATTCATTGCCTTTTGTCTTCCTTCTTCCATTTGTTAAAAAGGGTCCCATGAACCGTTTTGTCTCGCTGGAACGCGCAACCCTTTCAAAAATACACGCGTCACGCGACTAATAGACAAGGGATAGAATAGATTTTAAATAAGTTTTTAGCGAAATCAAAGTTTGAATAGAGTAGTTGTCCTATTTTGTTCTAACATTTTTATTATTTATATGTTTTATTTATTTATTTTATCACATCGATTTATAGATCATTTTAACGTATTATATTAAATTTGATATTAAATTCTATGGTTATTGATATGGAATTATCTTTAGAAGAAGAATGTAAAAATTGTGGATCACGCCATTGTCATTTTTAATCTAAAAATATAGGATCTACTATTATACCTCAAATATTGCCGCTTTGTGTCTATCACTATTTTTATCATCGACTAACATAACAGTTTTATTATTCGAGCCTCATAAATTTTCTAAACAATGTAATTTTTCATTCTTTTATCCCATGTTATACAATACTAATGGAGAACAATGTTCAATTCTCATATAAAACATTTTCAAATTGAAAAAAGAAAAAAAAGCAGAATTGTATATTAAAATAATCGTACATTAAAAATGATAAAAGACAATTTGAAGAGATTAAATATATGTATAACTTTTTGACTATGACTTGTCCATTAGTAAAGCGTGGTATATTTATTTATCTCCCAATTTTATATTTTACAATCAAAAAACAAGAAAGAAAAGATAATTAGTAATTAAATACAGAATATTTCATTTAAATATAAAATACTAAATTAAAGCTTGTAAAGGATATAAAAGCTATATCTTCTCTCTTAATTTATTAATAAGTATATAAATTTATAAATAAGTTTAATAAATGGAAATTAAAGATGAAAATTGCTTTTACAATCATATGTAATGTTTTATATCCTTTCATTGATAAAATAAAAAAATATCTATGTATATAATATCTAAATATAATACAACAATCATCATCTCATATTCACAATAGCAAAATTATATGACACAGAAATGAAACAAAAAAATCAATAAAAATATTTTATTTATCACTTACTCTTCGCCTACGAACATGTTTCTTCTTGCTTCTGTTCTTCATATAACTCATCCACATCAAAGACATTTTCAATAAATATAAATTTATACTACTATTACTAGTATTCTCAAACGAAAAAAAAAAAATAAATAAATAAAACGAGATAGCAGAAATAAATATACTAATTACAAAACGAAATATCTATCATCCAATACCCAACAAGACTGCAACTCGTCCAATGATTTTTAATCAATATTAATATTCAATTTTCTTCTCGATTTATCAGAAGAAATTAGAAAATAAACTTGATTTTCAAGTGATAAAAATTAAGTAGCTTCACTCTGAATGTGACCAAACGTGCAGAGCGTATTCGAAACTGGATGAACGACAGTGAGGAACTGATGTCCGCGTACCAGCGTTCACCAGGCTGGTACACGGGTTAAAACGTGATGTCTCCCTCCCCTTTTGCACGAAATCTTTTTCTGCGCACGGGAAATCGGTGTGGCTCATTCATGAGCAAAATTGTACGTAGCAACCACCGGTGACCACGCTTGGTGTTTCAACAAAACGGAAGACAGAGTCGTTTTTCTGCGTAGTATTTGAGGAATCTGCGTCACTAGTCTTTTATATTCCAGTCTTTTTTTTTTTATATATCGAGCATTCGAAAAAATTTCCAACGAGGGATCACGGGGTTGCGTAAGCAACGGTGAAAATTTTCGAATTGTTCATTTGTTTTTTTTTTTCTTCCTCTTTCTTTTTCTTTCGAAAATTGCATTGAAATGGATGGAAGATACAAGTGAATCATCGATGTACGATTTTATTGTTTGAAAATGATCAATGAAAAAATCGTTTGCTCGTATTGAAATTGACATTTGTAAAATTACAGGTTGTTTTCTTTGATTTTAATCTTAAAGAAAGAATGTTTCCAGTATATTTATATTAATAACTATATTATAAAAGAAAATTTCATTTCGTGGCAATATAGAATTTTCCATGTTATAATATGAGAATAAATAATACAATATCTCTTCTGAAAATAATCAAATCTCAAACATTTACACTGTTCTTTATCAGTTGTGTCTTCTTCTCTTTTAAAAAAATCAATTCGATGAGTTTATTAAATTTTATTTCTACCGATGATCCCATTTTGGTCGATTTTGCAACCTTTGCGCATCGAGTCCTAGATATGCAACTATCGTCGCGAAAATAAAACGGGTGACGACGAAAACATTTGCTCCAGAATGTGCGGATATTTGTGAAATGCACGTTTGAAGGTTCGTGTTTCTCTTTTCGCTATTATAAATCAAGCATCGTGAAAGATAATCCCTACATGAAAACGCAGCATGTGGAGCAAAGATCGTTAATGAAAACCACAAAATGACTCGGTCCAAAAATTTAATTTCAGTTTTACGGGGGAAAAAATGTAAACGAAAACGTATCTCGATTGTGTAAAATTTTAAAATGATTGTTTGTAAATTTTCTGCAGGACAAGAATGTAATGTGTATTTTGAAAATTCTTCGAAGTTATTTTTCTTTTTTTTTTTTTATTTTCCTGAAATAAAAATATGAAGATGTAAGAATAAAAAAAATGGAAAATTGTGGAGTAATATTTCGTAGCACTTTAAAGAAATATCTTGAATAAGTGAAATGAAATAAATTTTGTAACTTTTGAATAATCCTTTGAGTTTACGATTTTGTTTTTGTGTATTATTATTTTTATAGAAGAAGTTAATAATAATTTAATAATAAATAATGGAAACAGAAAAAAGATTTCCCAAGAATAAAATTTCAAGCGATACATTATTGATTGAATAAAAGAAATCAAGAAAATATTTTTTCGAAGAATATGTACCAAAAAATAATTTTTAATACTATATTAATACCATATATTAATGATAAAAATATAAATACAGATAACGATAATTGATTAGATATTATATAACTATAAAGAATGAATGTTATTTATTATTTTTATACTTATTAATAATAAACGATAATAAACGATATGATACCTAAAATATTTACAAATTTCTCAATATTATTGAAAGAAAATTTTATCAAACCTTGCATAACAATACATTATGATTTTATACAAAATAAATTAATATAATTTCGATTACACGGATATCCCTAAATAAGTTTCATAAATATCGCAACAAAAATGTTTAACAACAAGAACTGATCAATTTCCGTACCGAAACGTTTCGAGTCACCCGGTATACAGACATTTGGAATCATAATCAAGCTGCACATCGTTCCTTCATCTAAGAAAAATCTCGAATCGCTCGATAACCTCGTTGAAAAACAAATGCATCCTCTGTTCATAATAAGAGACGCGTTTCCATCGTCGGTAAAAAGGGAAAAGGCGGTCATCACACTCGAGAGAAGATCGGCTCGTTCGCGGAACACGAGGAGAGGCATGATCGACGATCGTCGACCAAAGACCGTATAATTATTCGAGGAAGCGATCCACGCTATTCTTTATGGTTGGCCATAAACTTTCCTCTTTTTTTTTTCTCTTTTTTTTTTTTTCCCTTG